AGATGCTCAAAGCCAGAGTAAATGCTTGTGAAAGCATTCGCTTACTTAGTCAATTAAAGGTTAAATGTAAGCAGAGTCGAGATCTCTACAGTTAATGAGATCATAGATGAAAAAGGAGACAATGTTAAAAAATAGAAACATGGTAGTGATAATCGAAGCCTGCAATATTTAGATTTAACAATTGACAATGTGGATGACGATGTGGATGAGGGGAATCGGAAGCTAAATAAATAAGGAAAGTTGAATGGGCCTCCATTTGCATTGTCTGGCTGTTTAGAAAGTTTTAAGATAAGCAAATTACTAAAGAGGGATGATGAGATCGATTAAGATGAGTACATGAATTAATATATATTATGCTCGTTTTAGAATCAGGATAATATTCAAAAGAGGATCAGAAGGATATCGATGGAGCCAACACCTAGCTGTTCATAACCATGGCCGACATACATTCGATAGTTGAATACATAAAATCAGCGAAAATGACATAATCCTAGGACACAATTTAAAAGTGTAATTTAAATTGATAAGAAATATGAATGTGCGACATTTAAGAGCGCCACTGATCCGGTGAAGCAAACGGACTGAGCCGTGTTTAAGTAAGTGTAGATAGTTATAAAATAAAAATGAGTATTTGAAAGAAAAGTTGGGCAACATAGTATAGAATTATAGGCGTGAGACAAGAGATGAAGCAAGAAGATTAGATAGAAAAAATTAGTGAAAATTGAATAATGAGTATGGCTGAAAAAAAATTAAATATATAAATGCGGAGAGATGAACATGTAGATATATGATAGAATAAAGAGAAAAAGAAAATTAGAAAGAAAGAAAGAATGAAAGAGGCTAAGCATCTCGACTGACAAATTAATTGAATCACTAATTATGCTTCTACATAGGCGGTCTCAGGCCAGAATGGAAAGACAAGAAAGATCTCTGACGTTTCGTAAATTTAGAAATTTTTGAGTTCCAAAAAGATCTGTTCTAAACGCTCCAATTCATCCTTTCATTGCTAGATATTCGATAATGCTTATTGGAAAAAGGAATGAAGTATATTTTGGCAAGCCAAATAAAGCTTATTCGAGGAAGCTTTGATGACTAAAGCGTCACCTGGTGTGTGACTCCTGATGAAAAAATAAGTTGCACCCTCTTAGTGTCCGGCCAATCGAGCCAAACAGCCTTACAATCAGTCGGTTTCTTGGTAGCTGATAGGCGAATATCGTAGTTGGCAGACGTTTTCGAGTTAATGATAGAGCTTTGGAAAGTGGAAGTGCTGGAATTATATGGCAAATCCATGTCGATTAAATGTGCAGAGACCTGTTTCACTTGTTGGCCGCCCATACCAAACAGACCAGTGGTGGAAAGCTAAACATGAAAAAAAATGCATAAAATGAGGAAATGAAAAAAAAAAAAATAAAGTCAAATCGATGGGATTTGTAAAAAATCGTGCAAAAATCCTTGGATCACGTAAATATATATAATAATGAATAAATGCCGATTAGATAATTCTGGTAAATTCAAGATGCTTTGAGGAAAGCAAAAGAACAAATTGAAGCAATAAAACATGCAAAGCAAGATAAGGCGAATAAGTCTTTTTCCTTAGTTCATTAAGGATGCCATGTATGAAAATAATTGTTTTTTCTGGGAAAGTGATGAGCCGGTG